ACTATGTATTTGAAGCCTAGAAACCTGATATTCTGTAACAACTAGTTTATTATTATACTGCTAAATAACTTGACTCCCCCCCCAAGACCCAGTTGCAAAAGGAATATGGCTTGAGCTCTTCGTTTTTATGCCTTTTAATAATCATAGATGAAATTTACTGAACATATATTATGTGCCAGGAGGTCCTATACTAAGTGTTGTATGTGAATAAACATACTTAATTATTAGAAATAGAAACGAAAATAGCTGAATGCTTGTTAAGACAGTTTCCCAACCTATTTAGCCCAGAAATGCCTAGTCTTCAAGTAAAAAACATTTGGTGGCCAAGTTTGGAGATCATTATGAGAGGTTCTTGTGTTCAAGTTAACATGTAATTAGTCTTTCTTGCTGTCCTTCTTGACATGAATCATTAAACTAACCCCAAACTTATTTGGAGAAAACAATTTTTTTCTATTATCAGATTTATTTTCATCGTTTTTAAAAAACTGATTTTTTTTTTTTTCTTTTTTTGAAAAAGTGACAAGACTTCCAAAAACTGATTTTTATTTAACCAATGCTTCATCATTGACCTAACAGGAAAGTGTCACTTTGATAATTTATGGCCAAAAAAGCAATTCTTAAATATACCACTAATATTCATTCATTCACTTGTTCATTTATCTAGCAAATATATACTTAATCCCTATTATGTACCAAATACTAGTAATACCAACTACAACAAAAAATGAATAAAGCATGGTACATGCCTGTAAGGAGCTCAGTCTTTGGCACTCTTTGTGAGCAGCCCAAAATAGACATTTATGATTATCATTAAAGATGCCTACCAAGCCTTTGCACAACCACACAGTAATGCCTATTGCTGATACTCTTGGACTATTTAATCTGAGAAGTCTCAGAATTGTGTGCTGAAGTTTATGAATATGACTAAAATAAGAATTGAAGTTGCTGAGTCCAGGTAGGAGCACTTAACTCTCTGAGTGAGAAACGGTTCACATTTCCATGCTTCGGTAACCACCCTCTCCATAAGTTTCGAGGATTAGAACTCTACTCATTTGTGACTACAGGGAGTTTCCTGAAGTCCCACCTGTAATGTGGGATTTCCTTTTTCCCTGTGGGTCTTGTGGACTGCTGAGGCTGTGAAGTGCATGGGCTGGCAGGCAACTTCTCTAGAGGCCTTTTATGGATACAAGGCAAGCACCTCATCTTACCTGTCCACCTTGAGATCTCTTTCAGTCCTCTCCAGTTTTTCTGCCAGTATTCTAATTTTAGAGCCTTGTAATTTATCACCTTGGACTGTTAGCAATAGCTTACTATCTGGCTGTATTCCTTAAAATTTCATCCCTTCTGGTTACCTTCCTCACTGATTACAGTGGAGTGATTATTGTAAAACACATGTTGGATTTCTGATTCCTCTACTTGACATCCAACTCTGTCTTCTATCATCTACAGATCGCAAGTCAGAGCTGCTTAGCCTAACATGAGTTCCTTTAGGAGCTGGCCCTTACCTACACTTTTGTACTATCTTTTTGAATTCTAACAGTTTGAAGTAGCCAGAATGATTATGCCACGCTCTTCTTTTGCCTCTGTGCTTACCACGTACTAGTTCACTACCCAGAATGTTCTTCCCATCTTGTCTACCTGGAAAACTTCTTCTCACCCTTTTAAGACTAAGTGCAGATTATTTGTCATTCTTGGATGCCTTCTGTGATCTTTCTAGTAGGGCATATGTTTTCTTTTTGTTCTCATATGTTATGGTTGAGACATGGTCTTAATCATTTGTTTACCTTATTGTCTCCCAAACTAAGCTTCTCAAGCATAGGAACAAATTTATGTTAAACTTCAGATTTTCCCACACCTAGTGTACAGTACATGATTCTTAACAGACATTTAAAAAGTGAATAGGCCCGGTGTGGTGGCTCACACCTGTAATCCTAGCACTCTGGGAGGCCGAGGCGGGCGGATCATTTGAACTCAGGAGTTTGAGACCAGCATGAGCAAGAGTGAGACCCCGTCTCTACTAAAAAAATAGAAAGTACCACTTTCCATGCTTGTGGAAAGAAAAAAAAAAAATAGAAAGAAATTAGCTAGACAACTAAAAAATTATACTTACATATAACAAAAATTAGTCGAGCCTGGTGGCTCATGCTGGTAGTCCCAGCTACTTGGGAGGCTGAGGCGGGAGGATCGCTTGAGCCCAGGAGTTTGAGGTTGCTGTGAGCTAGGCTAATGCTACAGCACTCTAGCCCAGGCAACAGAGTGAGACTCTGTCTCAAAAAAATAAAAAGTGAATAGCCTTTGATATTTCTTCCTATTAGTTTTATTATCCATGAGGATATGAGATCTTTCCTTTTTATTTAGAATTCATTCTGCAGATGTCTGAGGGCATCTTTTATGGCCATAGAGGAATAATGGATGTAGGCAAGATGAATTGTTAACATCTTGCCTTTATATTAACACAGTTGATTTAGAATTTGGAGAAATTGTAGTATAATCAACAAGCCATCAGAACATATTTCTGCTTTGCTTGCTAGAGATTAAGAGGTAGCTTATTCAACCTCCAGCAGGTAGTTAATGACAATCTAATCCTTAGTGGGTAACTACTTCCACTTAAAGGAGCAAGTCATTTCCTTGGTTCTCACATTATAGTCATTTCTTATGCCTCTTGAAAGAGACTTTTTATAATAGTAGAATTGATTTTCCAAACTCTAGTTTTCAAATAAATAATAAAACAAGACATTTATTTTGGGATAGGGAAGTTATATCATACCATTAAGGTTAATTTTTAATAAAAACCTAGAATCTACATTTAGCATATAGAAAACACTGATTTTTTATGTGATTGATAGTTTAGAAATTTATCTATATATAACTGTTTAACTACTCTCAGTTAAGACTCAACATTTATTTTATTCAAAATGGTTATTTTCTCATTCTTTAATATTTGGTATGAAGCTTTGTTTTAATGACTCTAAAAGAGTCAAAAATTTCATTTATTTCTTTGATAAGCAGTGGTCAGTTGAGTAATGTGAGTAATCAGAACAGTGCAAATGGATAGTTCATCAACAGTTCATGGTGCCCTTTTCTGAAGTTTGGTATCAGTTTATTACTTGTCTTAATTGGAAAATCATACCTTTTTAGGCTTTAGCATTTTAAGCTGATAGCACATGGTTTATCATCTTTTTCCTTACTGGCAATAGACATATTAAAGTCATTTTTAAAGTTATCACTGTTATTTTTAAAAAATCTCAAATTGGTTTAAGATTTTTAGCTTGAGACTAGAATATTTTGTTGTGTTTGAAGGTAAAAAGAGGTGAAAAGGAAAATAAATTCCCTCTTTGGTAGATTTCAGTTGTTTAGTATGGCCCTGTTCTGTTTTTTCACTAATGTTTCTAAGGTTTTCGATCACTTTGCATATTATGTTTATGTAAGGAACCCAAAGAGAGTCTATTGAATTAATTATGTGGTAATTTTAGTACCTTCTATGTTGGGGGACAGTTTATTCATCTGTGTGATATTTATTGTGAAAATACCCAGGGACGTTAAAGTCTGGGACATTACCTTGAGACAGCAACAGAGATGGCTTGTTTATTTTGTATATTCTGCAATGTGATTTAATGTACCCTATTTCTGTACAGACTAATTTTGAGTAGTCATTGTCTTTTTTTTTTTTTTTAATAGCAAGTCAGTCCTATGCCCTTATAGAGCCACCCATCCCTCTGCTAGTCTATGGGCTTTGTTCTCAGTTACTCTCAGACCTGCCATAACCTAACCCCTGAATGCTGACCCTGGGCAGCCATTGTTCAGTGCTGGTCAAGGAGGTGAAAGAAGTGAAAAAACAATGCAGTATCAATAGATCTGTACCTTCTATTGGGGAAATCAGAGATGCAGTGTAGATTTGTTTGTGGATTAGCATAGAAAAAAAAGTTACTGGTGAGAAATGGTCCTTGAAAGTTCACATATCAAAACCCTTTGCCAAACTCTTTGATGTTTTAGCTCTCATTATTTAATAGAAAGTATGTCTATGGGTGGTAAAGATAATACATTTGTAGCAACCACCCCTATATCAGGACAGGCCCAGTAGGCCCTGCCCCAAAGTAATGGAAATTGCATGTTTCCTCTAATTTTCGTAGACACAGTAGGCTACAGAGAAGTATGTGTGAGGGCATATTGGCCTAAGAACTTTGTTACAAGCTTCTGTGCGTCAGGTCCAGTTTGAAGCGATTTCAAATTTGATTCATTCTCAGCCATCATTCAAAAGGCTGATCATTTTTAATTTTACTAAATGAATGTTCACTGTTTGGTCAGGGTAGATTTGTTTTCCACGTGTCAGCCATAAAAGTAATGAGACAGAACAAATAAACATTTTACTTGGAAAATTTTCAACAAGAATATTAAGTATAGGTTAGCATCAGCTAAATGTATCGACCAGTTTTTGTTTAAGTAATTAGAATTTCACATAAACTGAGAATATAACTTTTATTCTAAACCTTGTTTATTTGCTGATAATTTTAATTCTTGACAGAAGTACATTTGATAACATGGTGTGTACAACTTTATTTTTTAAAAAACTTTAAAATGGGTAATATTCTGAAGATCACAGTTAATATCTGAATGCTTGTGAAGATTAAACCAAAATGCTATAGAAATCATTCTGTCAAGCTCTGTTATATATAAGGTGTTAAATACCTAATGAATCTATTAGGGCAGGAATTTTTTTCTATAATAAATCAGAAGTTTAATATTTTCTTTCCATCTGTTTAATTTTGGATCTTGTTTAGTGTTTACTGCCTGTATCATTTTTTGTTTGCATTATCACTCTTATATGTGTCTCATGAATTTGCTTGAATATTATAATTCATTTTTTAATTAAAAAACCCCACATACTCTCCATATTAAAACATAATAAGTACCAACACAGCCTAATTGGAACTTAATTTATATTAATTCTGGATGGCATTTCTAAGACAAATCATTGCTAATGTTTTGTTTAATTTCGACAGCCTCAAGTACTACAGCCTTCCAGCAGCCTTCCCAGACCCACAGACTATGCCCAGGGAAAACTAATAAAGCCGCAACCTATCGAGGCCCGCAGTGAATGCGCGACCCAGGGCATGCATCAGGGTGTTGCACATCTGGATGAAAGCTTTACACACAGCCTGCAAGAAGAAAGCAACAATGGTTTGGAAGACCGGCCTTTTTCATCAAGCCCACAATTCATGATGGATGTGGCTAAGAGTGCACCTTCTGAAGGAAACTTGAACATGACTGTGGATGCTCAAGAGCCTCATCATTTGGCAAATAATCAAATTAGTGACATGCAGTTTATATCTACTTCTCTTCAGACACCTCCCCAATCAACTACAGTAGACCAGGTTAAGAAAGTTGGAAGAAATCAGTCTCTGCCAGTGGGCTGTACGTCTCAGCCCAAGTCCATACAGCCTTTAAAGCCATCCATCTTGAATTCTTTGGTACCTCCTCCAGTTTCTGAATCATCTCCAAATAGGACTCTCACTTGTAAGAAGTCACCGATAATCACAACATGTAATTCAGCTAAACTTCAGCCAACATCTAGTCAGACAAATCTTATAAATAATCCAAATCTGAAAGCATCTAAGCTCCGCCCACCTTCAGGCTCTTTCAAACAAAAACAAATAAGCAACCCCCAACTAGACCCTCAAAGCTTCCAGGTCAAGACAAGCATCCCAAGGCCACTAACACAAAGAAAAGAAATCATGCAGAGTTCAAATGGCAATTTGCCTTCTGGGGACTGTTTGGCTTCTAATCGATATTCTCGTCTTCCTAAACCAAAGATACATTAAGTACGTAGCCATCACCTGCCAATTTGGTTTTTTTAAAAACTGTTCTGAAATAGCTTTATGTGCAGTTTGCTACCATGGTGGAGGTTCCATTAAAAGCCTGCAAATGTTAAAATGTGGAAGCTTCTACTAGTTTGGCTCTTCCATTTTATATCCTGGTTGAAGTACATGCCATTTGAGCAAATTTGTCTCAGGTAAACACACAAAAGTTTGCTTACCCATTTCAGAGGCCTGCCAAAGGCTCTAATCATGTTATCCATCAATCTGCACATCAGAAAATGCATAATAGTCTAATTAGCAGGCAAGAAGTGTGCTTTGCTGGTTTAGTACTGTCAAGGTCTGTATTTATTGTGGTTGTCAGAACCTCACCCCTTTTCACTTGTCCCTTCTGTGAATATGGCTACTATTTTAAAGATGTGGTGATAATGGAAGATGGTAGTTTATAAGCAGAGTTCTGGCCAGTGTTTTGTGTATTTAAAAGGTCTATGCAAAAGCTTTGTGATGAATAAAGGAGATTAGGTTTTTAATGGAAAATCTATGTAAGTTTTATTTTTTCTTGCTAGGATCAGCAAGCTAGTATTACTATTTATTCATTTCCCAGACAAATTCCCCAAGCTAAAAATGTTTCTTATTATATATAAACCAATTATATATTGCTTTAACATCTTGTTTTACACACACACACACAAACCCACTGCATTTGTGTTTGTATTTGTTACTTGGGTAAATTTTGGAGAGCTTGAGGTACATCTTGAAACTTGTACCTAAAGATGTATCTATTTGTAACATACATTGGTGCTAGAGTTTGCTGGTAATTCAGTTTTGTACCCTATAGGCATATGGATCCATTATAGCCATTTTAAGGTTCCACAGCATTTATTTTATATTGTCGTTAATTATAATATTTATGTTTATTGACTTTCTGCTAATATCAGAAACTGGAATAATGTACTTGAAACATTTGCACAAAATTTTGATAGGATATAAATATCCTATATGTAGGGATTTAAAACTATTTTCTAGAGCAAAACAAATTAAAATATTTTGAGAGAAATTATGAATTTAGGTAAGACTATCTTGAGAAAGCTGGAATTCGTAATAATTGTATTTTTTAATTCTGTGTGTCCTAGGTTTCCCTTTTCTGTTGGTATTTGTTTGACAGTTTCTTGAAAGTAGATATTGGAAGGAAAAGAGAATTAAAGATGGGAAATTATGTTTTATTAAAAGGTACTGAAAAGTATTTCAAAGGCAATATGCTTATTTATTTTAATGTGCTGTAGAGGTAGCTGTGGAACCTCCAAGCAACCATGTGCACGACCTTATCATGCTTTGGGACCACGTGTCAGACAGTTCAGTAAATTTGCTTTTCTTTTCTCCCAAATCATGTCATCTTTAGGCTGTTCACCTGTAGCTGCTTTAATTGAATGAGTATCTTTCAGAAAGATCACGTTACAAGGTCAGTGTTTGTTTTGAGGAGCTGACCAAAAATATATCAAAAGAGATTATGGACTTAAAAGTCACTCAAATTTCTAGGGATTCATTTAAAAAATTTACCTAGGTACATTTGTCTGCCCGTTTATAATAGAAACAACAGCATATCCTTTAGTGGAAATTTCAAAAGAAGTGTTTGCTACCATTTTGACACAGTCTTCCCTTTCCTGTCAGATGAATTTGCCATTTGGTGGATACAAACCATTCTTGGATTTGGTAACAGATGAGCAATGCAAATCTGGTCTCCTACTCTCAGGAGCCAGCACTTCTGCTGGGGAAGCAGTGAAATTCAGAAAGTTCTTCACGTAGTTCAGATATACTTCCAACTATATTGTTAGTACGCACTTCGTTGTTAATGGAGATGAGCCATGATGGCTGCAGCTACAAGTGGGCACGTGTGGTCTTTCATTTTGAAGGAGAAAAAACCCTGATCTCATATGTTGCAAATAGGATGTTATCATACTATATTTCCCTAAAGTAAAACATACTTATTAATGACTTAGGAGATTTTTGGTTTATTTAGAAGTTTGTATAGACACTTATGAAACATTATTTACACATTGGCCTTATTCTTAAGGGAAAATTTTTTAATTTTTAATTTATTTTTATCTCCCTGGTCTGAGGGAAATGTCTCTATTGTCTAGTACATAAAAATGTTGACTCCAGTAATTTTTTTTTTTTTTATTTTTCCTGCTCTATTTGTTTCTCCCTAATGAATTGGCAGAAATGTTAACCTGTTAAGTCAACTTCTCTGTACCTTTGTTGAGTATTAATCTTGGCAGAAGATAGGCTCATCAATATAATTATGAAGCATAATATATTTAAGAGAAAAAAATCTAGGATACTTACATAAACATAAAATATTTGCCTACAGTTTTCTTTAAAAACTGTAAGAATATCATGCTTATCTGCTCCTTAGTAAATGTTAAGTCAGAAATGGACATGAGGATGTAGCTCTGTTGAAATAATCATAGATCAGCTTTTCAGATTTGGCCTGATCTCTGTTTATTGCTTCTGTAAATCAACTCTGTGCCAAGTCCTCCTCCACAGGAACTCAGACCTCTTATTCTCTTAGTTCTTGTGACATTAGTGAAGATAGTTGCAGTATGTAAGTCCTGAAGAAGTTTTATGGAATGGTTAAGTTTCACATTTGTGAAAGAGGAAGTTAAGTATGCAGAATTAGATATTTGGCTGTTAATGGGATGCGTATCAAATTTTTAAAAGAAAGCTTAGCCTAAGGAGTTTATCCATACAGGTGCAGATGATTTAAAGGCATTAATGGATTATGTCATTTAGGATGTTTCTAATAACTTAAACCATCTAGCATTTTTCTTTTGGAGTCTCATTTTGATTTGTGCAATATTATCAGGCATATAGGCTACTGTCCATTGTATTTATATAGATAATAGGGAACTTACTAAGCATTTTAACAAGTAAAAATCTGAATATGAAAGAAAATATCAGATTTGCACTTTAAATGAGCTTAATTGCTTGGAGTTGTGCCTGAAATATCAAAATGCCACCTATTAGGTGTGGCTTTGTTGAAAGAATTTCTCTGTAATTGTTGCTGTTGGAAGATATCAGTACAGCCTTTCACAGAATTATATTCCCAGCATGTCACTTTCCCCATTAAAGCACTAAGGTTTCTTTGACTGTTCCATTATCCCATTAAATATTTTACTCGTCTTTCTCAATGCATCAAAGAGAACGTGATCCCCCTATCTATAGCTGTCATTTCCAAATGTTCCTGTAGCGTAGATAGTGTTACAGACACCGAGGTGCACGCTTGAGTTTCAGAGCAGAGTTATCATACTGGCTTCCTGGTCTCTAGGGCACTGGAGATGTCCATTAGAATCACCCAACAGGCTTGCAATGAAGATCAATAAGACTGCAGCACCATTTCAGTTTACTCTCCATCTTACACAGTAGTTTTTGTGTTGCTAAATTAGTTGGGGTGGTTATGTTTGCATGTTTATGCAATAATTTGAAAATTAATTATAGTTGTAATACAAATACCTGATGTTTTTCCTTGGGGATGGCCTTGCTATTTTTCTTAATTCTGATGCTTGAATTCTATTTTCTAATGATCTTTTCCACATCTCTCTTTAAGTTTTCTGCTGCAGCAATTTGAAAGAATACTTTTGGATAAATGATTTATGATGGAGGGCGCCAATCTACAACTATGTCATTAATTGAAGATATATGTTTTAATCTTATTGGGGAAAAGCTACCCACTTTCTCCTTGGTAAAGCATTTCCATAACAAAATAATACTGACCCTATGAATTTGAAGTCTGTAAGTCATTACTAACAAAGAACAAAAATAATATCTGCAGTATTATTTTCCCATTGTTTTTAAAAACCAGTTCAGAGTACATACTGTATATTAGAATTTGCCTGTAAAATGAATTATAAAAATCAGATGTAAAATCTCTCCTGAAAATGTTGGCATAGTAAATAAAAATAAAGTTCATAATTATAAAACTTATCTTGTCTTCCTCAAAATTGACTTGTATAGTTTTTCTCTGTATCTGTCCGTTCTCCTCAAAGATATGAAACTGTTCATTTGCTTAATTTTTTTTCAAACTCTGACATTTTATTTTATATGCTCCTCTCCACACACACATCACACCCGAATCCTGGATTGAGTAGGAGTTGAACAATATTTTATTGTGTGTTTTCACAGATTCTATAAGTGATCTAGTACTTTAGTTTTCATTTTAATAAAATGCCTGCTTTATTTTAGAAAGACATTGGGATATTGAATATTTGAAGAAACTCTAGCACCTTGGGTTAGAATGTTGTACAAATGGGAAAAACACTGTTGTGATTTTAATTATTTTGTTTGTTTTTAAACATTGCATGCACAAACTAGCTTGAAGCAAGAAAGATGTTTAATGAAATTTTGCCTAATTTTTAGGAACAAAAGTAATAGCAAATTTATATTTTTTTCAATTTAATCAGATGTGATAATCATATAATAAGATATTAAACAGTTAGTGCAGTGATATATCATGTTATTAATCCATGACAGCTACATAAATTCTGGAAAAAGAGGGAGAGAAATTTCATTAGTAATAAACTAATTTACTACCTCTTAAGACACTTGTATCTACTTTAAGGCCATCTGAGTGTATCAACAAGTATTTTCTTACTCTGACTCAAATTTTTCCCTTCTTTTTGGTCAAGTGTAGTAATTTCAGTTTCTTCATTTATTCTATTGATTCCACATTTTCCACCCTCCCCCCCCCAGAAAAGACAACTAAGCAGGAATTGGATAATTGACTTCTTTCTCTATTAATTTGGCTAAATTAAATTTGGTGAGGTGTCCACTGTGTATCAGGTGTTGGGTTGGCTTCCCGGTACACAGAGCTAAAGACCATACAGTCCCTGCCTCATGGAGCACAGGAAACAGGTGGTTTTTATCGCCCCATCCACTTCAGGACTGAGCCCTTCACTTCTGTTCCCTGTTCATCTACCTTTTTTGAATATGATGGTAAAACTCCTTTTTGCTGACGTTTCCCCTCTAGTTTCATTTCATTCTGAGCCTTGTAACTCCCTTTCGCTGTTCTTATCTTTGACTTTATGTAATGTTCATTCTTAGTTGGTCACATGCCATCATTCCCCTCTGAAAACCTGTCCTTTTATAATCGTTTTATTCAAGAACTCCCTCTTTAGCCATATAAGATATTATTAAGTACTCTGCTTTCCACCATGGTTCTTAGAATTTAATTCTGAGACTTCTCAACTATTTTAAGCCACCGTCCCTTTTAGAACCTCAGCCCATAAGATCTGGCTTTCTGAAGTCTGCCCATAACATTCAAATTCATGTCCAGGCTTTGTTTTCTGTCCTTCCAGTTCTCCTGTATAGGTCAAACTAGTATGGTCTGGTTGACATTTTGGGATTTTAAAGAATTTTTATGACTACATAGTAGTTGTACATATTTGTACCTGTGGTCATACTGCGTAATGATCAAATTTGGGTAATTGGGTATCCATCACTCCAAACACTTCTCATTTTTTGTGTTGGGAACATTCCACATTTACTCTTCTAGTTATATTGAAATAGTCAATAAATTATTGTTAATTATAGTGGCCCTATTATGCTACTGAACACTAGATCTTACTCCCTCTGTCTAACTGTATTGTGTATCCATTAACCAAGTCCTCTTGATCCCCCCTCCCCAGCTTCTGGTAACTGCCATTCTACTCCACCTCCATGAAATCAGTTTTTTTAGCTTCCACATATGAGTGAGAACATATATAGGACATTTGTCTTTCTGTGCCTGGCTTATTTCACTTAACATAATGTCCTCTAGTTCCATTGTGTTGTTGCTGGTTCCCTGCTATTTTTTACCGTGGGATCTCTGAGAAATTTAGTTCATCCGGAAGAGCCTTTTCCTCATTCATGAATTGTCCCCTCCTCATCCAGCCCTCAAATTAGCATCTAGTCTATGCAAAAATGAGAAAGAAACGGTTTCTCACAGGCACTTCTCTGATTTTTTAATTATAAAAATGGTATTGCCGTTTTCCAGATCCCCAAACACAACCTGTTATTTAATCCTCACAGGAATTCATTCATGCATCCATTTTGAGTATGAATAATGCTTCTTTGGTCCTATTTCAAGTGATTATAAAATGAATGGTTTCTGCAATACATCTTAAGTGTCAGTCTGTTAAAGTAAAAGGTGACTGCTTTATTACCTATAAGAAACATTGTTGAAATGCTTGTCCTGTGCCCAGCCCAGGTTTGACCTTGTGATAGGTGAGTAGGACAGATCCCTTGCAATGGAGATCAAATTCCAACAGGACAGAGGGATCCCAAACAAAGCACTCTTGAGAGAGCCAGGGGAACTCGCACCATTCTTCCTCAGCAACTGTGCATTTTTGTTAGGATAAAAAAAAAATTAAACAGCTTAACATAATTTAGGTCATTATCAAATAATCTGTAGTGGTAATGATACATTTGACCTAACCAAGACTTTTAAAGCACATGATCAGTTCAAAATATTTCTGAGTTACGGGAAATTTAAAAAATTTTCCTGACAAATTTTGGCTAAGGTATTTGCATTTGTGAAGGTAGGTCAAGTGCTAATGTAACTTGCAAAGAAAAACAAAAGTAATAGGATCTGTGATGAATTATTAATGCAAGTTGTTTCTTCAGTTGTGGTCCAGACTAATGCTGAGATGCAAACACAGCACTCTCATCTCCCTGCTGCCAGAGGTTGCCTCCACCACGTTTAAAGATTCAGGAGCTAGGCAGAGCTCACAGGAGGTGTTTGGGTGGGAAACATCTCAGCACTCTCACTCAGAACCCTGGACCTTGGTCTGACTACAGTTGGTTAAGGGGAGTTTGGATTGGGGTGGGGGGCGGTGTGTTTGTGTGTGTGTGTGTAGCACAGTGCTATCCTGCCTTTTAGAGCTCCCCAGGAACTAAAGGGGGAAGCAGAGGAGACAGTGGCCTTATCATCATTTGTGAATATTGCAAAAAGCATTACTTAAGTCACAGAATGGACCAACCACAGAAGTACAAAGTGCCAATAAAAGGGAAAAAATACTAACCTTTGCTAGTAGTCGAGGAGATGAAAAATAGAATGACATGCTACTTAACATATCTTTACATGCAAAGAACTATTTAAAAGCGTAGAAAATTAGAAACAACCCAAATGTCTGAGAGTAGGAGAATGATTTAATTATTTCATTTATACGAAAAAATAACTATAGTCAGCTCTTAAAGAATATTTACTCAGAATATTCAAATTATAATATTCAAAATATATTATAATTGGAGACAAAAACAAAATGGCAAAGCCATGAATGCAGTACAATCTCAATATGTATGTGCTTATAAATACTTACATGGTGGTAGAATTATGGGTGGCTTTATTTTTTATCCTCATTTTATATATTTTCTATTTTTTTCTAAATTGTAAGACTGATCTCATAATCAGAAAAGTTTGTGTGTTTTTAATAATAGGGTCATTTCTATTTCCTAGGGAACATTCTTAAAGCACCTGGCACATAGGCATCCAGTAGTTGATGTCCCCTACTACGGAGTTAATAATGAGTGATCTTTGTTCATGACCTCCTGTCATATGATGACATTTTAGGAAATTTTAAGTCAGTTATGCAAAAACAACTAATGGCCCATTGTCCTGACCTGAAAAGTAGTTCTACTGCATCATTGCTTTATTTCTTTGTACGTTCAGATAGTTGGGGTTGGGAAAGCTTACTCTATGCATCAGAGATCAGTCCCTTGTCAGTGACAAAATCTACTTCTCCCAAACTTAAATAATTTGTCCCATTAGCAATGTACTAGGTAGACTTGGAGAGATTCATCCTAACTTCACAAGCCCTTCTCCATGTTCTACATTTAGTATTTTATTATTAGTCATTGGTTCCATCTACACCCTCCCAAAAAGGAGTACTATAAATGAAAACCTTTATAGATTGGTCTTTTCCTGGTTCCTGCTCCATGAAGGCTGTTTGCTATGGGATGTCAGCTCTTACTGTATTAACTGGGCCTTTGTGCCTGGCATGACGGAATACATCACGCACTGTGTAGACTGTTACAGAGTATGGTTCAGTGGTGCTAGAAACCAGAGCAGGCAAATCCCAGGGCTTTGCCCCACTCTCTTTGGTTACAGACTTGAGGATTCCTCTGATCTGTGTAGCTGCTTGTTTTGCTGTCTCCTGCCTCCGAGCCTGCGGGAAGCTGCAGAACCAGCCATCCAATTCTGTTCCCTGGGTTTGAGCCAAGGAGGGAGACCCCCAACCGTTAATTATACCATTTTTTTTTTTTATGGTTTCCTTAATGCTGAGCAAATGCTCATCTGCCTTGGGGCGAGTGGGGAAATCTTACCGGAGTCCACTTGCCAGTTTCAGCAGCACAAGACCCGGGCAAGCTTCCTTCCCTAGGAACAGGTACACAGAGTGCACACTGTAAGAAATAGGAGGGGAAAAGGAATCCTAAAGCAAGAAACCTTATTAAAATCCAAGCAGATATTGACTTCTTTTGTACAGAGAAGTGAAATTCTTCCCACAAGTATTTTTCTCTTGTTATGAATATTTAATTTTCTGTATCCACTGGCTGGTGGCCAAATCTCACCACTACCTTTTTTTTTTTAGATCTTTTTTTTTTTAATCCCTCCCTCCCCCTTACCCTTCCCAGCCTTTGGTAACCATCCATCATTCTACTGTCTGTCTCCATGAGATCAATAGTTTTTTACATTTAATTCCCACACATGAGTGACATGCAAGATTTGTCTTTCTGTGCTTGGCTTATTTCACCTAACAATGTTATCCAGTTCCATCCATGTTGTTGCAAATGGCAGGATTTCATTTTTTTTGTGGCTACATAATATTCCATTGTGTTCATGCACTACAGTTTCTTTATCCATATATACATTGATGGACACTTAGGCCGATTCCATATCTTGGTTATTTAGAACAGTGCTGCAATGAACATGGGACTGCAGATATCTTTT